TCAGAATATAGTAGTGTTGAGAAAAAGCATACACAGGTTGAGCATTCCCTCATAAAAAAATCCAAAATCTGAAGTGTTCCAAACTGAAACTTTTTGAGCATTGACATGATGCCACAAGTAGAAAATTCCACGTGTGCCACATTATTTTTTCACTGTTATTAATGGTACATAATAATTTTTGCTATTAAGTACTTATGTGTGAATAAGTGTAAGAAAATGATTGCTATCAGTAGCCTGAGGACTTCACTTGTAATTGGCCTCTAAAGTGGCAGCAGTCCTGTGGGACTGAGCCCTTAACCTGTGGGGTCTACGCTAACTCATGGTAGCTAGTATCAGAATTGAACTGAATTGTAGAATACCAGTTTTGGTGCCAGAAAATTGTTACTGGAACAATACCACACAGACATACATAAACAAGGACAAAGGAAGGTTCTTTCTTATAGTAGAATGCCAAAGAAAAAATGTGGAAAATGTAGTAATAGTTGAAAAATCAGAATTTCACAACTATTACAGTAACCCCATACAACCTTGAGGTCTAACTTGCACTTAGAATGGTTCTTTTATGATACATGATTTTGCAACATCGCTGGTCATTTGGAAAACTACTGGTTCACTGAGTTATGTGGATCTTCCAAATGCTGGCAAATTTTGCTATACAACAAAAAAAAATACAGTCTAAATATTACACCCATCTCATTAGAAAAGTTTATAAACACTGGAAAGCATCAAGCTCACAGTGGAAGATAACAATTTTTTCAAAATTCTAGTTTTTGCTTAAAAGCGTAAATATTATCAATGGTGAAAAATATTATCAATTGTTTTTCCTTAAAATAACAGGCTCATTGCATTTCACTTTGAGAAAATATCTGCCAAATACCCAAGTCTGAATATAGAAATTGTTCTTTAAAGTAAAAATAGTTTCCATGAAAAAAGAGACTAGTTCAACTCACAACTCAACCACACAAGCACTTAACCTTTATTAACTATCATACTTCATTAGGCGACAAAAGAACTTTAGGGGTACTTTCCATTTAATCACACAGAATACTAAAAAGACATGTACCCAAGGGTCGAGCATCAATAAAATTAACACATTTTACTGTTTTAACATCTTCAGTACAACTGGCTTTTTTTTCTCTATTGTGAGCACACGGTGGTGATGAATACAATAACTACTAAAGCAGTTTGGTGCCACTGCCTTAATTCATAATAATACACAAGCAGTTTTCCACACTGCTTTCACACAGTGCAAATATAACAGCAGGGAGAAAATCAAATAATGTGGTAGTATTATTATGAAAACCATGTCTTTGCAGGCCCCTGAAAGGGGACTGGGGACCACCAAAAGGACCACAGACCACACTCAGAAATGCTGTACTATAGTGTCTTTTACATTACCAATGTATTGCTCTATCTGACTGTGAGCTTTTGCTGTAAGTCATTAAACAACTTCAAAAATGTTTCCTATTATAAAAGAAAACCAGATAAACATTTCATGTAATTTTTAGAAATTTCACTGTTTTCCTAAATTTGAACATTGTACTGTCACATGAACTTTAAAATGTGTCTCTTCATAAAGTTCTATTATTAATCAGTTTCATATGATACAAATTTTTTTAACTACATTGCTCAATACCTTCTCCCTGGAGAGGTTTTCCAAATGTGAAGTCAGACCACTTATTTCTTTGTCTTTCTCTGCCAATTGAAGCTGAATAAAGAAAGAAATTTCATTATTTTTTTTTCATTACCTCTCCCTCCTTGCAACTTTGATATCTGGTTTACACTGCTTTATGAAAATAATTCCTATTACTAAATCCATGTATTTTCCTCAGCTAATTCTTTGACTTCTCTGAATTATTTGTCATTTATTGACCAACTTGCCTTGTTCTTAAAACTATTCCTTTGGTTTATGTGAAATTGCATGAATATTTTCATCATCCCATGCCCTTTTTTGTGTGTTTTATTCTTCCCAATACAAATATGAGTATTCTCCAAAGTTTCTTCTTTGGCCTCTTCTCTCAATATTCTCTCTCAAAACTCACTTTCTTCCATACCTTCAAATATCACCCCCCCGGGAATAAATCACAAATATTAACCAATGTACCACCTTCTCTTTCCCAAGTTCCAAATCTGTCTTTTAAATTGATAGTTAATGTCCCAAGCCTACTTTCATACTTCTGTTAACAGAACTCAATCTCAGACTACACTGTGACTAAAGCTGAGAAACTATATTGTAATACTTTTCCCTTTTCCTGTTTCTCCACTCTCCAACACTTTGTCTCTAAATCATTCATTCATTCAGCAATCACCCACTGATCACCTATTACAGTTTAAGCATTAATGGATACAAATACAAATAAAATCATTCTTCAATGGTTCTTCCCTAAACATGTCTTTCACAGCTTTCTCTAGTAGATATATAATCCATTCAATGGCAGGTGATCAGGGAAGGTACCCAAAAGGAGGTGGTCTTTATCAATTCATTTTAAGAATATTTCTACCTGATTTCCTCACCTTCAAACCCTTCCCACCTCTGAATCCTCTTCAATACTGCCAAATTATTTTCAAAAAGACTATGATTGGGTCTCTTTTCTCCTAGAAAATTCTTAATAGAACTAGCACCGAAATTCTATTTTAAGCCTAAAACCTGGCTTCAAGCTATCATTCAAGCCCAAGCTACTCTATTACAGACACAAGTCCTAATGATCAAGACTGCTCACAGTTCGCAGACTACGTGCTCCATTTCTCAACTCCAAATATGTCTTAATGCTCTTCCATCTACATAGAATGCTGCTGCTTCCTTTCCCTCGCTCTGCTTCTCCTCCCCTCCAGTTTGTTCTTTCAAAGGTGTAGTTATTCCATAATGTCTTCCCCCAAATGTTTGATTGGAAACAACTCTAAGGCAATTAAACTTATTATTCATGTGGAGCTTTATCACATTTTGCCTTGTCTGGTCAGTGTTCGTCCATGTCAAAATAGTACAAAATAGGGCAAAATGAACTAAATAAAAAGCCAAACACATTTACCAGCTACATAATTTTAGATATGCTGTTTGATCTCAATGCTTACTTTTAACATTAATGAAATAAAATTATCTGTTCAGCTTCCCATGGTTTACAGATGATTACCTAGGGTGGTGTGAAAATTTTGTGCACACTACCATTACACTTCTAGCAATCTACTAGATTATAAACTCCTTAAGCATACCACTGTGCCTTATGTGATTGCCCACATAATATCTAACATAGTACTTTATGTAAAATAGGCTTCAGTAAACATTTACTAAATCATTTTCCTAGTCAATATGCAAAAAATTCTTTTCATATGAATTCATGATTCACACTTACTAGTTAAGGAAGTTGCCAGTTATTGAAAAGAATATCCACAAGGGTCACGAAATAATAAGCTAATGTATCTTAGTCTGTAATGTCCTATATCTCCAGCCCCTACAGGGGAAAACTAAAGTAATTCTAATTTTAAAATTAGATCACAGGTAGAATCAGCTATGATATTTGAACCATTTAGAATTCCTGGTCTTCAGTCAAAAAAAAAAATGTAAATTATATCTACATACATTTCTTAAAATATATTATTCTTTATTCCTTAGAAGAAATATATATTTCTACTTATTAAGTAGCTAGACAGCCTATTTTTTTTTGTCTAACATTCTATTTATTTATTTATTTATTTATTTATTTATTTATTTATTTTGAGGAGTCTTGCACTGCCACCCGGGCTGGAGTGTAATGGCATGATCTTGGCTCACTGCAACCTCTGCCTCTAGGGTTCAAGTGATTCTCCTGCCTCAGCTTCCCAAGTAGCTGGGATTACAGGTGCCCACCACCACGCCTGGCTAATTTTTTGTATTTTTAGTAGAGACAGGGTTTCACTACATTGGCCAGGCTGGTCTCAAACTCCTGACCTCGTGATTTGCCCACCTCGGCCTCCCAAAGTGCTGGGATTACTGGCGTGAGCCACGGCACCTGACCTTCTCTAACATTCTTACAGTTACCATTTATTATTTGGGCTTGTCTGTTGCCTAACATTATATTGGCAAAAATAATTTTCATTAGTTAAGATTACATCACTTGCTTTTACTGTATTTCATTTAGGATCACAATCACATACTTTGGTGACAAATGGTAAAACTCAAATTTTTAAAATTACTGATGACATATTATTGTACTACAAAAAAAGTGAAGGCCCTAAAATAATTCTTTTTATTTATTTATTTTTATTTTTTAGAGACTGGTGGGGGGGTGGGCATCTCCCTATGTTGCCCAGGCTGATCTCAAACTCCTGGACTCAAGCAATCCTAATAATTTTACATAAGCATTCATGTTTGTTTCAAAATGAACAAGAGGACAGGAGGATAATGATCACTTTTCACCTTTAAAAATAAACACAATTAAAAGATGTAATTTTATTTTATTTTATTTATTTTTATTTATTTATTTATTTTTGAGACAGAGTCTCGCTCTGTCGCCCAGGCTGGGGTGCAGTGGCCAGATCTCAGCTCACTGCAAGCTCTGCCTCCCGGGTTCACACCATTCTCCTGCCTCAGCCTCCCGAGTAGCTGGGACTACAGGCGCCCGCCACCTCGCCCGGCTAGTTTTTTTTTTTGTATTTTTTAGTAGAGACGGGGTTTCACCGTGTTAGCCAGGATGGTCTCGATCTCCTGACCTCGTGATCCGCCCGTCTCAGCCTCCCAAAGTGCTGGGATTACAGGCTTGAGCCACCGCGCCCGGCAAAGATGTAATTTTAATAGCCATCTGAATCCACGGAATTAAAGTCACAATAGCAACCCAAATGGTATCCATTTTCTCAATTCAAAGTTAATGAACAGTATTCATGTAACTAAATATATAGTACATTTTTACTTGTAGAAAAAGCTATCAATTATCCATATTTAAAATGTACATTAGATTGAATAAAATTATACATAACAAATTTTCAAAAGTTTATGCCTTAAGTTTACATACAATAAGTACCAAACTTACTTTATAATTGTCCTGTACTTCAGCTAGTTCAAATTTTACATTTTCAGCAATTTTCACTTGTTCTTTCCATTTCAGCTCCATTTTTGCAAGTTCATCAGCATATTTATTGCATTTTGCTTTCTCATCCTAAATGAAATTAGTATAATTACCAAAAGATTTTAAATCCATGTAGAGTGAAAATCTATAGCAACATACTTAGATATGGGCTGAATGTTTATTATAACACTGTTGTAACAGCATAAAAACTGAACCAATCAAATGTCTATTAATAGACAATTGGATAAATCATTTTCTATCCACACAATGAAATAGTATATATATTTTTAAATAAGGCAGATGTACAAGTTGACAAGAAAAAATGTTAAGATACATTAATTGAAAATAGCAAGTTGCTAAAAAAGAAGATATAATATCCATTTTTGTTTATAAGTTGTTTTACACAGTTATAATATCTATGTTTGTGTTGTATACAAAAATATAAACCAAAATATTAATAGTTCTTATCTCAGGGGATCAGAATGATAGAGGTAATTTTTGCCATCTCTACTCTTCATTTCTGGAACACTACAACATTTCACAATAAGTATATATTACTTTTGCAAAGGGAGGAAATAATGTCATATTTATAATGCTGTTGTTTCCATACATTGATAAACTCCAGAATTTGCTGACCAAGATAATTTTTAGGTTGACTTCTTATACATTGATCTTCTCTACAACCCAGATTATCATAAAGGAGGAGCTACAAATCATGACAAAAAGGTAATTAGGCCAGTTCCACTTGGAACATTTTGTTCAATGTGAACACCTAAAAATATACTTTGAGCAACTTAATGGAGGGGAAAATCTTTTAAACAAATAATGCTAGGTCAGCTGAATATCCATACCATACATTCCATATCTCATACCATACACAAAAATTAAAATGATTCACAGACCTAAATAGAAAAGCTGATTATAAAACTTCTAGAAGACAATACAGGAGAAAATATTTATCTCCTTGGATTAGGCAAACCATTCCTTAGAAGGTAAAAAGCATAAAACATAAATGAACTGATAAACTATACTTTATCAAAATTAAAATTCTGCTTTTCTAAAAACATCATTAAGGAAATGAAAAGGCAAGCTACAGACTTGGAGAAAATATTCACCTTACATATATCAGACAAAAGACATATCCAGAAAAAAAAAAAAATACAACTCAAGGTGAACAACCCAATCTTTAAACCACCAAAAAGATCTGACCACTCACACAAAAAGAGATAAAGAGCAAATAAGCATAAGAAAAGATGCTGAACATCAAGTCATTACAGAAACGCACATTAAAACCACAATGAGCTGTCAGTATACACCCATTAGGCTGGCTATGTAAAATGATACAAACACTTTACAAAACAGTTTGGTAATTTCTTTTTTTTTGAGACAGAGTCTCACTCTGTCACCCAGGCTGGAGTGCAGTGGCGCAGTCTTGGCTCACTGCAACCTCCACCTCCCAGGTTCAAGCAATTCTCCTGCCCCAGCCTCCTGTATAGGTGGGATTACAGGAGTGCACCACCATGCCCAGCTAATTTTTGTATTTTTAGTAGAGAAGGGGTTTCACCATGTTAGCCAGGCTGGTCACAAACTCCTGACCTCAAGTGATCCTCCCACCTCGGCCTCCCAAAGTGCTGGGATTACAGACATGAGCCACTGCACCCAGCCAGTAATTTCTTATAGAGTTAAACATTCAACTGCTGTATCACCCAGGCAATTCACTCCTAGATATTTACCCAAAAGAAACAAAAAAATCCATATGTCCACAAACAACTTGTAAACAAATGTTCATAAGCAGCTTTATTTGTACCAGCCGAAAAACAACCCCAAATACCCAAAGTGGGGAATGGATAAACAAATGATTCAATAAAAAGAAATAAATATAAGCAATAATATGAATAAATCTCTAATAATCATGCTGAAAGGGGGTAGAAAAAAGTACATATTACATGACTCCATTTTATAAAATTGTCTAAAATGTAGGCTAATTGATAGTGACAGAAAGCAGGCCAGTTATTTCCCAGAGGTAAGGATAATGAAAGAGATGTGTTGCAAACGTGTACCCAAAAAACTGGAAGAGTGATGGCACTGTGGTGATAGTTTCACAATTGTGTATGTCAAAACTGATTCAACTGTATACTTTAGGTATGTGTAGTAATTCATTGGATTTCAATTATACCTCAATATGGTTGTCAAAAAAAAAAAAAGGTTTTTGCTTGAACATTATTCTACCTTCCTTTCAATACTATTTCTATAGAAAAATCTTGAAATATTCATCCAGAATTGTTTCATCTTTAATGAAAATGTAGTTCAGTCTTACAAACAACTGCCCTGAACTCAAAACTGTTCTAATCAACCCTTCTACAAGATTCTCTCAAGCAAAAAAAAAAAAAAGTGCATTTTAACTTTGGTTAAAAGATTTTGCTATTTATAACTAACATGAAAATATTTTAAATAATTACTGTAAATTAAATTACAGTAAAATTAAGCTAATGTGTAAATTTTATTCTATAGCTCTAAACAAGGCCCCTCCCCTCCCCAATGCACACAAAAACACACAGAAAAAAGCACATTTAATAAAACAAACAAAAATCACATACACACTTTTTCCTCTCCATGCCAAATTGATATAAATGAGAAGCATTTTCCCTTTTCCTTTAAATATTCCAGTAGTGAATACTACACCAAGAAGGCTGCAAACCAGAAAAGTCTGAAAGATGCTGTTTAAAATAATCAAAATAGGCTGGGCACGGTGGCTCACACCTGTAATCCCAGCACTTTGGGAGGCCGAGGTGAGCAGATCACGAGGTCGGGAGATCAAGACCATCCTGGCTAACGTAGTGAAATCCTGTCTCTACTAAAAATACAAAAAATTAGCCAGGCGAGGTGGTGGGCGCCTGTAGTCCCAGCCACTTGGGGGACTGAGACAGGAGAACGGCATGAACCCGAGAGGCGGAGCTTGTAGTGAGCTGAGATCGCACCACTGCACTCCAGCCTGGGCAAAAGAGTGAGACTCCGTCTCAAAAATAATAATAATAGTAATAATAATGATGAAAATAAACAACACCGTAAGAGACAACTCATTTGGTTAACATTGCCTTTTCCACTATGCAAGTCTAGTCACTTTAAGATGTAAAAATCTTTGCTATTATAATAGTAATTTATTTTATTATTTTTTTTTTGACAGAGGCTCGCTCTGTTGCCTAGGCTGGAGTGCAGTGTGCAATCTCAGCTCACTGCAACCTCCGCCTCCCGGATTCAAGTGATTCTCCTGCCTCAGGAGACTGTAGCTGGGACTACAGGCATGCCCCACCACGACCTAGCTAATTTTTGTATTTTCAATACAGACAGGGTTTCACCATGTTGGCCAGACTGGTTTTGAACTCCCGGCCTCAAGGAATCCACCCACATCAACCTCCCAAGGTGCTGGGATCATAGACATCAGCCACCGCACTTGGCCTATAATAGTAAATTTAAAAACAGCACTTTCCTTTTATGAAGTTCAAATATTTCTCATGAATCTTTATACGATGATAGATAATAATTTCTAACCTCAATTAACTATTTGCCCATTACCCAAACAAGAACATTTTATTAGGTGAAAAGAAAATAATAACTTAAGGTCACATGCCTATGTGAACAGGTACACAAAACGCCCATATCATCCCAAAAGTGAAACTAAGTAACAGTATATGGGGATGGGAAAGAAACTCAAAGATACCAATCAATCAAAACAATAAAGGTAAGCTAAATCATCAAGATTTATAAATCATCAAGGTTTATAAACCTCTTTCATTTACAAGGTAGTTAACTTACCTGCAAGAGTTGTTTACATTTATTATACTTTTCTGTTTTGTCAGCAATTTCTTTGGTCATTTCACAGACTTGCCCCTTTGTTACTATGTCAAAATCTGTCTCTGCTGTAGCAAGGCAGAAAATAAGACTGTTAAAAAGTATTTTGCCCCTTATATTATCTTCCTGTTCAGAATAACTTAAAGGTCTGTATATTGTGAAATATAATAAATGCAATACTGAAGAACAGAAATATCTATTTATATCCTAGATATACAAAGGATACATAAACTCTAGTTGAGAATTTTTAAATGTGTGTTTGGCTAGAACCAAGTTCACGTTCAATAATAAAGGATTATTCTTTGATTTTTCAAAAATTTGCTAACAACTGGCCGGGCGTGGTGGCTCATGCCTGTAATCCCAGCACTTTGGGAGGCCAAGGTGGGCTAAGGCTGAGGCAGGAGATCAAGACCATCCTGGCTAACACGGTGAAACTGTGTCTCTACTAAAAACACAAAAAATTAGCCAGGCATGGTGGCATGCACCTGTAGTCCCAGCTACTCAGGAGGCTGAGGCAAGAATCGCTTGAACCCGGGAGGCAGAGGTTGGAGTGACCCGAGATCACACCACTGGACTCCATCCTGGGTGACAGAGTGAGACTCCATCTCAAAAACAAAAAAAAAATGTTTGCAAAAAAGAGTTCCAAAACAGCACAAAAATTGTTCTTCTTATATAACTGAATAGACAGGGTAAGTAGGAAAACCATACTCTGAGAATTCTCTGTCCCCTCTCTGAAAGCCAGGGTCTCACTATGTTGCCCAGGCTAGCCTCAAACTCGTGGGCTCAAGTGATCCTCTTGCCACAGCTTCCAGAGTAGCTAGGAGACCACATACTACCACACTCAGCCAAGAACACATTTTAAATCATTCTTCTAGCCCTTCATTACCACTAAGTCTTTATTAAGTAAATACCCTATAACACCATTTTAGTTACTACAAAGGATACATGGAAACAGAAGGCTCAATTCTGTCCTACAGGGAATAAACCTAATATTTAATAGTCTAAGATGTTTACATTTAAAAAGACTTAAAAGATCAACTACTCCACACACTAAACAAGAAAATATACTTTCTCTAGTATTTAATGTCATTACTGTCAAATTTACATAAAAGTGAAAAAATTAGGACAGATGAAAACCTAGTTAACCCAAATTTTCATATTATTCATGTTTTCACTATGTCTCTCTATTCTGTTCTATAAGGTAATAAACTAATAAAAACTTAACTCCATCAGCCAACAGGTACATTGACAAGGGAAGAAGTACCCCATTGATCCAAAGCAGCCAAAAATAAATGAATAAACAGAAAAACACGAGAATAATAGGGGATTATTTTCCCCTGCAGAATTTAAAAATTAAAATTGACAAATAAAATGCTTCAAAATTCCATAGATTTAATGGAACATCAAGTAAAAATTCAATTTGTGGCTTTTGTCCTATGTAGCCCAAATTAGTACTCACAAGCACCACCTCATTTTTAACATGTGTGAATAGTCTCAAGAAGATAACTACTAGTTTACATTCACATTTTATCTATTCATGTTTTGTATATTCACCACATGCATGACTCTATTTTACATTTACACCCTTATTTTCTCGTTGCCTCAATTCCTTCACTTATCACATGAAAATTTTTATGAACACCCTGAAGTTCTTACACATGGAAGAAGGCAGTATAAGTACTTTCCAGTGTACACTACCCTCCACAAAAAGTCTAAAAGATTTTTACCTGCAGAAGGTGATGGCTTTACATCTACAGTAGAGGCAGAAGTGGCTGGGTCTGTGTTTACTGAAGCATCATTCACTTTCTGTTGATTCCCCATTTTCTTTGTGAAGACATTATTATTATTAGCCTATTCAAAATGTTAATAAGTTGTTAAATGAGTCAATGCATTAGTTATATTTCCTTCTTGCAGTAACTAAGTAAATAATATTTTCACATATTACTTTAGGAAATCCTAAGAAGTCCACAAAAGCTGCTCTTGTTTTAAATGCCAACAAAGACTAAAGTTATACACATCATTTTCCTCACTGACCTAAATGTTGCAAAAGAAATATACCATATTTTGCTTTTTCTTATAAACTCATCAAAACACCACCAAAATAAGTCATTCACAGAAATCTACTACAAAGTTATAATGTACTCAAAAGGCCCCAGGCCAAATTCATACATGTGGATGAGTCATACTTAAAGTATCATATTTTTTCACAAAACCCTTCCTACTTTACTACATGCATTTCTTGCTTGTCTCCTCTGATTTAAAAAAGTAGGACCAGGAAAGTATCATATGCATCATATTCAGGTTTTAACTATGTTTCTTCTACATTTCCAGGAGTTTCTTAGATAGCAAGCCCTGTATTTAAGTACAATTTAAGGACCCACATTGAAACATACATACCTCAAAATAAAAACATTTCCTTGGCTGTCTTACAAATCTACCTACCTAGTCTCAAATGGAATACAAAAGAATTAGCTAACACTCTTTAACTGTTCCTAATCTAATAGGAATAAGAATCTTCCTAATATGAGTAGGAAGAACTTGCCAATTACAACTGAGAAACCATCTAAGACCAAGGGATGATTAATGGTGAACTCCAATGAGAACAGATGTCATTGTCACAAGAGTCAATAATAAGTATTGAGTTTTTAAGTGATAAAGATATTCATCAAGAACTTAAGAGGGAAATTATCTAGAAAAGAGGACTGTTTGTTCTCTTTGTCTTTTCCTTGCTACTGCCCTTGCTTCCTTTGTTGGCTGTCCAGTAAATTAAAATTCCACACTTTTTTAAAGAAGAGTTATGACAATATTCGGCCAATGACTTGAAATCAAGCAGAGATAAATTATATTTAAAAGGTTGATATTTAGAATATAACAAATTTGATTTTCGAATAAAAATACTAACAAGATATTTTACTATGTGTAAATTTAATGATACTTACTGACTGATCTGAAAGTTTGTTTATTTGTTTTTGGAGTCTTTGGCATTCCTTAAATTTTTCTTTATAATGGTCTGCAGCCATCTGAAGACGGAGTTTCAGATCTTCAACTTCTCTTCTTAGTTCGTGTTCCAGTGTATCAGTCTTGTCCTAGAAAGAAACAAACATTCTAAGAAAAAAATAAAAATCTGGTATCTCCTGATGTTAATAGTAACCCCAACTTCAATCTTACTTTTTTCTTTTTTCTTTTTTTTTTTTTCTGAGACAGTCTTGTTCTGTCACCCAGGCTGAAACACAGTGGCCCAATTATGGCTCACTGCAGCCATGACCTCCTGGCTCAAGCAATCCTCTTGCCTCAGCCTTCTGACTAGCTGGGACTACATGTGCACACCACCACACCTGGCTAATTTTTGAAATTTTTTTGTAGAGATGAGGTCTCACTAAGTTGCCCAAGCTGGTCTTGAACTCCTGGGCTCAAGCTATCTTCCCACCTCAGCCCCCCAAAGTGCTGAGATCATAGGTGTGAGCCACTGCCCCCGGCCACGTTTTTCTTTATTTTGGGATTTTGGTTACAGAGCAACACAGGGTCTCTTGTTAAGTCCAGTTTTACATTCTTAGGACTAAGGTTCATTTAAAAAACTAGAGAAAAATAATCTACCTCCTGAAGAGCAATTATTAATCTCTTAAACAACCATAATACTGTTTTATACAGCTAATAAGAAATTCCAAACAAAGCAATACATATCTGACATCAACATATTTAATTAATAGGGCAGCTTTCACCAACCATTAAGAATTCGCTCACAGAAGTTTTTCTTACAGCATACATTAACTGTAAGCTAAGAAGTCACAATGACTAAACAAAAGGAATGAAAATTTAACATTCTCTGATCAGAAATCTGACCTGCCTTATTTTAACACAATTTACTATTTTGTGAGATTATAGTGGTTTTTTTAAATCAAAATGCAAATTCAAAATTAACTTGCTTTACCTGATCTTTTTTCATAGCATTCAGTTTAAGTTCTGCCACTGCATCAGCTAACTGCTTTTTCACTTTCTCATTTTCCAAGCGTGCAGTATGCAGATCTGCCATTGTTCTGTCTCGTACGTTGACAGCATCGCTAAGTTCTTTAGCCAGAAAAACAACTTCTTGCCGAGTGGCCTGAACCTGTTCCTCTGCCTTACGAAGTTGCTCCTTTAAAAAAAAAGTATCTTCCTGAAGAAAGCAGATAAATATATTTGTAATTCAACCACTCAAGTAAAAAACAGAAGCAGAAACAATTTTCACATATTTCAACAGGGCCAAAATTTTAGATATTGATTTTTCTACTCATGACTTACAGAGTATATGCCTACAAGAAACTTAAGAGGTAACTTTGTTTTAGGTTCCCTCTATAACAACCCTATGTACTTGGTTTCACTGCTACTACTTCATACCCAAGGAACCTAAAGTACAGGGAGTCAGGCAACATACCCAGTGCTTAAGGACCTGCCCAAACTGAGGTTCAAACAAAAGATCCCATCCCCCAGAATCTCTCCTCCTAGAAATACTGACCCTCATTTTGTATGACTACCCGTAAAAATCATTCCAAAAGCTTCTTTGTAACACCAAATATTTTGGTTAAAAGATGTTTCCTACTTTCTACCCTAAAAGACATCGCCAGGCGCAGTGGCTCATGCCTGTAATCCCAGCACTTTGGGAGGCTGAGGGGGGAGGATCGCAAGGTCAGGAGATCGAGACCATCCTGGCGAACACAGTGAAACCCCATCTCTACTAAAAATACAAAAAAAATTAGCCGGGCGTGGTGGCGGGTGCCTGTAGTCCCAGCTTCTCGGGAGGCTGAGGCAGGAGAATGGTGTGAACCCAGGAGGCGGAGCTTGCAGTGAGCGAAGATCACACCACTGCACTCCAGCCTGGGTGACAGAGCGAGACTCCATCTCACAAAAAAAAAAAAAAAAAAGACATCAAATATAATCTAATCTGTTTCACATATCATTATAAAAACACAGAACAGATTTAGGCCTTAGTTCTAAAAACAAAATATTGATATACAAGGAGTAAAGACGAGCCACTGGGAAAATGAAAAGTAACGCATACTGCTTGACAAACCTAAAAGTATCTTTAAAAAGCTAAAATTGCTGTGATGAAATTATTTCCTTTAATATTAATGTTTAAACATTATAACATTTAAACATTATAAACACAATAAATTTAGTTTATTCAACTTCCTGCTTTTAATCTCTGCACTAAAAATAATGTAAAATCAGGAAAAAAAATGCAACCCAATATTGGTTTCTAAAGTGTTAGCCCATTAGAAGGATATGTAAATGATGATTTTACGCAGTGTTGGCATGGACAAAATCTTCAGAGGCATCACACTAATAGATCTACCTATACAAATACTGTCAACTTCTATATGTCAAAGGAGAAGAAAAAGAACTAGAAGAAAATTATATGTAATATATTCAAGAAAGGTATAATAATACTTGACATAAATAACTTTTCTAGTCAATAGGAAAAGGAGAAACAAAACAAAAAAAGTCAAAAGTCATGAACATACAAAAATTTTTAAAGAAACAAATGCGATTATGCAGTAAAAAATGCAACTCACCAACAATCAAATAAATAAGTTAAAACAAATGCCATTCACCTTTCAAACTAACAAAGATTAAAAACCAGTAACATTCCAATATTTGCATGGGTTTTGAGAAACTGGCACATTCACAAACAGGTGGCTTATATAAACTGTAACTGGCATCTTTTCTCATCAGATGTTTACAACATTCATCAGCAGCTTAAAAATTCTCACAGCTTTTGATCTAGCAATTTTATTTCCATAAGTTTCCAAGAAAATTATCAAAGGGCAGACATAGGTTTAGCTTTACAAGGATTCAACAAAATACTAAAATAATGAAAAATTATTAAGAACCTAAAATGTCTACCAATATGAGAATTTATGATAAACTACGATATACTACTCCCATATTATCAAAGTCTGTGCAGTCATTACAAACAATACATATCTCATATACTCTTGGTGGGAATAAAAAAAATCAACAGAACATTTTTTTGAAAGGTAATTTGAAAATAACTATCAAAATTTAAATACTCATTGACCCAGTAATTCCACTTGAAATAATTTATTCTACGGATTATAAATGTGCCTACATATTGCTATAAGGATGTTTACTGCAGATGCTTATAAAAGCTGAAGACTCTAAACAATCATATACTATACAGTTGTTAAATGAAGAGAAGAAATACTAGGCAGCTGTTATGACGAATGAAAAAGATTCACATGTGTATCATAGTGCACGATATCCATTTATAAATTTTTTTAAAAAGGAAAAAATGTATAAATTCTAATTTGTGTTAAAATATAAATATACGTATATTCATAAATTCAATATTGACTTATCTGAGAAGGGATGAGGGTTACATTTTACTCTGTACCCTCACATACTGTTTAAATTTTTTTATAACCATAACCTCAAACTACTTTTACAATCTTTTAAAAAGCTTTAGCAACTAGTACTCATTTTTCTCAGGTACTTCCATAACTATGCTTTTCCTCACAGAAGTCTTGCTTAAATAGGAAAAAGATGCTTAGAGAAATTTTTAGCATCTTATTAAATAACAAATAATCAAATACATTTCTCATGTTTGCATTGGCAATCTGTTACATTAAAAAGTAACAAGGATTAATCATTAATTCTAAATGTCATGCACTTCTGACATTTTAGGTATTACATTAACTATGAGTATTTTTAATAGCAAATTACTAAAAATAACATCATAAGAAATAATGAATCAATCAAGGGAAATCTATATAATGGAATATTATGTGGCCTTTTTTTCAAATGAGGAAGATCTCTATGAACTGATATGGAATAACTAGCAACTTATTTTGTTCAGTGAGAAAAAGATGCAAAATGTTATGTATAGAAGTGCCACCTTTTTTAAGAAAGAAGAGGATAAAGAAGTATGTATGTACATGTACACATGCATATATAAGCGTATTTTTACAAAAAGAAACATAAGAAGAATAAACTAGAAACTTATGAATAAACTAGAAACTTATGAAACTTATTACCTATGGGTATAAGAAAAGGGTTTTAAAAAATAAGGAAAAGATTGAGACCTCAGAGTAAAATTTTTCTATCATTTTGACTTCTGAGCAAAGCAACTGTTTCACATATTCAAACAATAAAATTAAATCAAACAGAAGAATAAAAGCAAACATTAAAATTAAATACAAACAAATGAAATTATATTACAAATTTATAACATATGTATGCAAAAAAAAATGGTTCAAGTAACTTTTGAACATGGTGATCTATACATCCTTAGTGAAACATATACTAAGAAAAAAGAGCTGTAAAAATACCTTCGTTTTATTTAGTAGATTTATTGTTGGAAGTGGCATTGATATAATAATTGTGAAACCATTGGTGTGTATGGCTGGATGGAAACACATGAGTAATAACGATGTTTTAGAAACAAGAGTTCTCATACTGGGAGAAGACAGATAAAAATATGGAACGGAGCAAAGGAAGGAAGAATCCTAAGGTACTAAATCTGAATTGGAGCTATCAATATAAAATAAAGATGCAAAATACCCACTGAAAGTGCAAAGCAGCAGCCCCATAGTAGCAATAGGATCCCGTTCTTGGTTTCAAAATACCATTACCTACTTAAAAAACCAGAGTTTCTTGGAGAAATGGTAATATCAGGTCTGGGGGAACAACCTGAAGTTAGAACATACAGTTGTGCCATAAAGCAAGTAAGTATTCAAATCATTACAGGAACATATCAGGACAAAAAAGCAGGCTTGATAAGATTCCCCTGGTTAAATTCAGAACAATTTGGGTACGAAAAAGAATAATGATGATTATGTATAATATGCAACAAAAAATCCGTAAGTACAAAGTTATATTAAAAAAAGAGGGAGGGGTGACAGGAACTTCCTCATTATAGAAGATTACCTACAAATAAACATAAAAGGAATAAGAGAATTTTTTAAATCACTATTTTTCTATCATTAATTATTACCAACGTAATAGCTGCTGCAGGTGAGGAGCATCAAAGGACAATAAAACCATTGGGGAAAGGCTGTTGGAGAATAGGGTGTTTATACAGATTGCTTAATAATCACAAAGAAGAAAAGAAAGGCACCTATACAGAGACAGGTAGGCATAACTTTAAACAAATTATTAAACCTAACATTATCAAGAATGGAACAAATCAACATTATATAATTTCTGATATGACTCCAACAGGATGGACAAAACATCATCTATGTCTTTTCTTGCAAAAATGTCTCACCTGAATCTAGTCATGAGAACAGACAAATTCAGATTATAAACATTTTCTCAGACTAGCCTGTCTTCTCCAAAAATACCAATGTCATAAAAAGTATAGGGACACTATTCTAGATTGAAACAGACTCAAAATACAACAATCAAAATAATATGTAATCTTTAAGTCTGAATCACAAAATTTTAAAGGTTATATAAGGTTATATATACATTTGGGGCAATCTGAATGTGAACTAACGATATACAAGAATGACTATTAATCAATGCTAAATTCTTAGGTGTAATAATGGTGTTATGACTATGGAGAAGAATGTACTTGTTCATAAAGGAGACATGCTAAAGTATTTAGAGTAAATTATCATAATACTTGCAATTCACATCACTCAGGAAAAAAGGGCATATAAATGGGGGAGATAAAACAAAGAAAAGCAAAATATTTTAGCATACATTAGTATACACTGTTCTGTTCTTCCAATTGTTTTGTAAATTTGAACTTTTTCAAAACAAAAGGTTGGGGGAATTAAAAATGAAAATCATATTGCATACATTTCATAGGTATGTTTTACAATCTTCAAATACATATAGCAAAAGTACTTACTTTACTTGAGGTTGTAAGCAGGAAAGTCCTTTGCAGATTTTCCTTTTCAGCCAAACATAACTGCAGCCTGCCAATCTCTTCTTTGAAATGAATAATCATGCTTTCTTTATTCCCATCTAAATTTTTTAAAGTCTGGACCTCTGACATAAGCTTGGTATTTTCTATTTCTGTATTCTTCAAATGTACCTGTAATGGTGTTTGAAAATGTCAAGAACATTCTAACTCCATGACCTAAGTCAGTCAAAGTTTAAAATACCATTATATTTCTAACCCAAAGATAATTAAAGGAAGGAAAGACATACTAGACTAGGATTTAGGAGACCCAGGTTCTGCCAAATGACTAGTTAAGCATGCAGGAGCAGAACGCAGCTTTTCTAAGCTTTTTTATTTTCCATAGAGATTATTCTAAGGCCTAACAACATTACCTGATCTCTAAAGTCTTTTCCTTTGATTTAATGGTTTCAGGTTCTCTTTAAAAATGCAAATAGATTTGGCTGTTGTTTTGGGGAAACAAATTATGTTACTTGGCATATTCAAATCTGGCATGACAAGACTCTGGAAAACTAGAAGGGGTACATTCAAAAACAACATCTCAAACAATTCCATTTTCTGCAGGCTAAAAGTACGATAGCACTTAGTTTTAATATGCCGAAAAATGTATTTGTTGACTAACCCAACTATGTTGATTTTCCCATGACTTTCGCTATTGCAGATTTGCTCCTAACAGATACACAAATCAAATTCAGTAACTGGAATTATAAGTACAGACCCCTAGTGTCCACTATCAAGTATATCTTACTTTGGTTAAAAGTACTGAGGAGAAATGAATTAACTTACTTCTTGAACTTTACTCTTTAAATGTACAGAATGCTGAAGGACTAATTCTTGTTCAAAACGATAGAATATTAACTCCTGATTCTCTGAAGGCATCAGCAGCCAACACCCTTGCAGCATCACTTTAAAACACTACCTGATTTTCATAATCATCAGCTCATTAAACTGACTTAACAAGAAACGGACTTAACTCAGAATGTTCTTGAAATTCCTCATCTGGAATTGCCTTCAGGAAATGCTTATGAGCCACTTAAAAAAATAAGTCTCAATCTGCACCCATAACATTATTAGTTAGTGACAATTAAGCTAACTACCCTATATTTCAGGGTTGCTTAAAAATAAAATAAAATAAAAACTGCCGGGTGCAGTGGCTCACACCTGTAATCCCAGCGCTTTGGGAGGCTGAGGCGGGCAGATCATGAGGTCAGGAGATCGAGACCAGCTGGACTAACACGGTGAAACCCTGTCTCTACTAAAAAAAAAAAAAAAAATTAGCCAGAGGTGGTCGCGGGCACCTGCAGTCCCAGCTACTCGGGAGGCTGAGGCAGGAGTATGGCGTGAACCCGGGAGGTGGAGCATGCAGTGGGCTGAGATCGCACTACTGCATTCAAGCCTGGGCGACAGAGTGAGACTCCATCTCAAATAAAAAAAAAAAATTAAAACTTCAAGCAGTCAAGATTTGTTAGTAGTGATATTTTTACAAAATGACATCTCTGAAGATATTCTAAAAGTCAAACTCTAAAACAGGATCATTACTAAATTAATGTTCTCCCCAAGGAATATATATATGTATGTTCTTAAAAAGGAAAAATAATTATATGAATTGTGATAAACAAGTATCTTAATGTCATTAAACCTCTTCAACATATTACACACTACCTGTTAAGTATCTAAAACAGAAGCAAATTAATTCCCTGAAAACTAACTTTTAGGGGTGATACACAACATGACTGTGACTTCCTCCTTGCTCTCTCCTGGATCACTCACTCTGAGAGAAGCCAGCTGCCATGCTGTGAGGATATTCAAGCAGCCTATGAAAAGACCACTTCAAGAGGAGCTGAAGGGCCTCCTGTCAAACACGACGTGAGTAAGCCATCTCAGAAGCAGATCTTCCAGTCCCAATCAAGCCTTCAGCTGACTGAAGCCCCTGCCAACATCCTGACTGCAAGTACACAAGAGACCAGAGCCAAAACCACTCAGCTAAGCTGCTCCTCAACTGCTGACCTACAGCCACTAAGCTTTGGCGTCATTTCTTTTGAAGTAACAGGCAATAAATATGGAACAAATAAATTACCTTATAAAGTTCCTTCTCATCCTTCTCTGTCTTCAACTGACATTCAAGTTGTTCTCTCTCATGTTGTGCCTTCCTGAGTTTGTCCTTTAAACTGAGATAGGTATGATAAAGTAACATTATAATGTTTTAAAGTTTTAAAATTTTTATTGAATTTATTTTTTAAAAGCATGAGAAATACCTGTCTAACTCAGTTTCTTTTTCAATTGCTTTATGTGTTACTGACACAATATCTTCCTCAAGCTGGAGGGCTTTGGATGTAGCATCGCTGAACCTCTTCTTAAACTCTTCATTTTCCATTTTTAAACTTTGTGTTACTTCAGTAAGACCCTGAGAAGTGAGAAGGTATTTTGAGAAACACAGAAACATAATCAGTAAAGCAAATTTGCATAGCTTTAAGAAAACTATGTATTCTTACAATTTTAGTCCCGCATTTGTTCCCTCCAAAATTGAGAAGCTAAGACTATAAAACCTGAAATGATAACATATATTTAAATTTTCATATACTAAATTAATCGATAATTTGTTTTTTGTTTGTCTGGGGTCTCACTTTGTCACTCAGGCTGCAGTAGAGTGGCACAATCACAGCTCACTGCAGCCTCGACTTCCCAAGCTCAGGTGATCCTCCTACCTCAGTCTCCCAGGTAGTTGCGACTATAGGCACTCCCACCACATCTGGCTAATGTTTTGTTTTTTTTTTTTTAATAGAGGCAGGGTTTTGCCATGTCACCCAGGCTGAAACTCCTGGGCTCAAACAATCCTCCTGCCTCGGCCTCCAAAAGTGCTGGGACTACACGCATGAGCAATGATTACTTTTTTAATATACATTTTCCCCCCACCTTCAGACTTTTCATGTACCCTGTGTGTTGATTTTACTAACTTTTCTCCACCAGGGGGCAGGCAAGAAAAATGAGGAAAAATTTTTAAAAATTAGTCACGACAAATCAAGTCTTACACGACACCATCAAGGTTAACACCCACTTTTTCTAGCACAGGTAACTAAGTCCCATCAAAGCACTAAAATATGCCTAAAGCCATGTTCCTAATGTTCTTGCTAGTGTGACTCAGACGCCTAAACAAATATTCAAAGATACTAAGACAAATACAAAAGAGGTAGTTAGTGCAACAAATTGAATGTATTTCTACTTGGAATATTCTACTTTAAATGGACGATTTATAAGACTCAAATATAACAGTGTATACAGGGAGGTGCTTTGTTATAGAAAACTATACAATAAAAGAATTGGTAAATTAAAATAAAATTATTTTTATTAAAGAACAGTTTTAAAATTTCTCCCCAAAACAGTAATACTTACCTACCCAGCAACGAAAACTTAAAAAATTATCATTCTGCCAGGTTAAAAGTATGAAACATTATATAGTATTTATATTTCACTTTAATTCACATAAAAGAACTCACCCAAATATTTTGATAGAATATCATTTTAAATAGCTTGCTAGAATATGCACATTGCTACATTATTTTATAAAAGTCAGATACACCCTATTGATATATTTTTGTTCAAAGCAAATGTTTGTCTGACTGAATTTGTAACACTAACCAAAAACTGTTGTACAAAATGCGTTTTTTGTTCCAATGCCACAATACCAGAGAAAAAACATGTAATATTTATTTCCTCTGCAATCATAGTGATTGCTGTGAAATTGGGCACATTTTCAGGATTTGTTGTGTTGATTTATAAAGACAGCCAGAGAGGTTTCTAAATAAAGTTTACATTTTTTTTTCATTTTTAGTTTTACCAATGCTCTCTTGGCACTGCAAGTACACTACAGATTTAACCCAAGTATTTCTCCCTAGGACAAAATTAGCTTCCAATCCTGAAAGTAATGAAGCCCTATAATGGGTATACAGCATTCTACAAAACGCATAGGAAAAGAGAAAAAAATCACTAGCAACTGAATGTAAATCATGAACTAATTGCTTTGAGTCAGTTAACTTCACAGTGAATTATATATTAACTCTGACTACAAGCGCTTAGACTCTTTCTCTGGTGCCCATAAGGCACCTGATAGCTTCTCAGCATCCAAGCCTCCTTTCAAAAGACATGAAAATGATAAAGTACGGATTAGTTTTCAGGCTCTAGTTTTCATGTCTGAGTTAAGCATAAGCATCTTCAATGTGGCTCAGTCCTCCTTAGCATGAAAAAGACAAAAATAACAATATTTGGCCAGGTGTGGCGGCTCACATCTGTAATCCCAGCACTTTGGGGGGCCTAGGTGGGTGGATCACCTGAGGTCAGTAGTTCAAGACCTGCCTGGCGAACATGGTGAAACCCCATTTCTACTCAAAATACAAAACAAAAACAAAAACAAAAAAAGTAGCTAGTCGTGGTGGTGTGTGCCTGTAGTTCCAGCTACTCGAGAGGCTGAGGCAGGAGAACTGCTTGAACACAGGAGGCGGAAGTTGCAATGAGCCTAGATCACACCACTGCACTCCAGCCTAGGAAACAGAGCAAGACCCCATCTCAAAACAAAATAAAACAAAATAAAAAAAAGAAAAGAAAACAAAAACTTTTTAAAATCGAAAAAAGCTTATGGAATTTGGATACAAAGAAAGAGTATTTTTGCACAGCTGTACATGTTTGCGTTTTGAGCTAAGAGTTATTTCAAAAGAATCAAAAAGTTTTTAAAAATAAAGTTAGAGAGTGAAAAAGTTACAGTAAGCTAAGGTTAATTTATTTTTGGAGAAAAAACTTTTTTATAAACTTAGTGTAGTCTGGCCAGGTGCAGTGGCTCATGTCTGTAATTCCAGCTTTGGGAGGTCGAGGCGGGCAGATCACCTGAGGTCAAGAGTACGAGACCAGCCTAACTAACATGGTAAAATGCTGTCTCTACTAAAAACATAAAAATCAGCCAGGTGTGGTGGCGCACATCTGTAATCCCAGATTACACCCAGATGTAATCCTACTCGGGAGGCTGAGGCACGAGAATCACCTGAACCTGGAAGCCAGAGGTTGCAGTGAGCCGAGATCACACCATTACACTCACTGTACTCCAGCCTGGGCAACAGAGCAAGACTCCATCTCAAAAAAAATAATAATAATTAATTAATTTAGTGTAGTCTAAGTACACAATGTTTATAAAATCTACAGTAGTGTACAGCAATGCCCTGGGCCTTCACGTTCACTCACTACTCACTCGGTGAATAACCTAGAGCACTGCCAGTCCTGCAAGTTCCATTTGTGGTAAATGCCCTGTACAGGTATAACAAATTTTACATTTTATACAATATTTTTACTGTACCTTTCCTTTTCTAAGATGTCTAGATATGTTTAGATGCATAAATATTTACCACGTGTTACAATTGCCTACAGTATTCAGTACACTAACATGCCCTACAGGTTTGTAGCCTAGGAGCAATAGGTTATACCATATAGCCTAGGTGTGTAGTAGGCTATACTATCTAGGTTTGTGTAAGTACACTCTATAATGTTTGCACAAAGAGGAAATCACCTAACGACCCATTTCTCAGAACATATCCCCATTGGTAAGTGATGCATTACTATAGTAAAAAATGTAATGAGGGCTACCTTCAATTCACTGAAAAATCTGCTATGAACAAATGCACTTAAATTCAACTTTTATAGAAAATAACAGATCCAAGCATTATTTTTGTGGTTGGAGTGGAGAGGAGGGGGAAGAGAGACAGGCTACAAATATACTAGTGTCTAAACAATTTCCTGAATATGAATTTATTCCACCGACTACTGATTTTATTTTTTTGAACATTAGGTTTCATATACATTTTTAAAGAGTTAGGGAATAAGTGCAAAAATTTAAGGTAGTATAACTTAAATTACCTTTTAATTAGATTGAATGGGAACTACTCAATGATGTAGTCTTATGAAATAAACTATAAAAATGCTTCATTTTACAGTTCTATACTTATCAATACAAAAATTATGGATTTAAAAGTATATAAATATATTGTAGAAATAATATATCATGAATTTCTTAAAACTTACTTTGTAGAGCAGGTACAATACTAAAGTAACTGGCTTGAAAGAAATATATTGCTATGTATACATAAGTCATAATCATCACCCCATGTATTAAAATTAAGCCTTTTGTATCTTTTCTTGATGACAATCGGCAAAAACAAACAAAAACAAATTCAATTAGATCATAAATTCAAAATTGGTTTTTGGCAATTCCATGTATTAGATAGTAAACGCCTTAAACTGCCTCTGTCCAAAACCAGGCACCTAATGCTATGATAACAATAATAGCTATCTTGAGAGCTACTGTGTAGGAAATTCTATGTGCTTTATGCATAATACATTCTCATTTGATGAGCACATGGCCTAAGAATTAGGAACAACTATGATGCTTGTTCACATGAGAAAAGTGAGCCACAGAGAAGTTAGGTAGTTTATCAAAGGTTACACAGCTAGTAAATGGAAGAACTGAGAATGATTTCAACTTTCCAATATTCTTAAAAAGTTTTCTAAAATAATAACTGAAAATTTTAATAATTGAGGTATTGAAATTTTGGTAATTTGATTTTTATCTACTCTTGATATGACCTTTCTTAACAGTGGTACTAATAAATAAAGTTATAAGATACTCTTCAAAGATAATTTCCAGATCTCATTCATAAACTGCTAAATTCAAAGACTACTACATTGGCGTTGTGTGTTGTGGCAGAGACTGCTGGTTGTCTGCCAAATTATGACCTCCTTTCAACCACAGTAATTACATATCACTGCCCAACTACACTTTATTCCCAGCTTCTCTTGTAATGCATTATAGTTATCTAAATTATCACCAGTTAAATATCAATGAAATTATATATATTACTTCCACCTCTAGAACTTACATTATTGATCATGCCTTGTCTAAGATCTCTTTCCCCTTTTCAGCCAGCTGAAACCAGGATATGCCAGTGACTAAGTTTCTATCATGAAGACATAAACTCTCTAGGAATCTAAGGGTGGGCAGTGGAATGATATAAAAGGTAACAAGGCCCCTGAATAATCATGTAAAGCCAATCCGCACTCCCCTCCCCAGACTTCAATGACTTATGACATAGACTGTTACATTAACAACAACAACAAACACTTTACACTGTTGGATTTCTTTGTCTTCACTCTAATTCATTATTTATCCCTGACTAGTATTCAAATCAAGTAACCCATCTGATACACTGCCATTAAGACAAAAAATTAAATTGGCTATGTAATAAAGTATAAGATATGCACCACTGATCATACCCAAATTCAACTACTATTGCAAATTACTTTAAATATCTGATTCTTGAAGAAAAAATGTAGCAACTAAAAGCCAAAAATAAGGAAATTATAAAGCTA